GGAAGTTAAAAACAGCCCGAAATTAATCTATTGATACAAATATTATAAAGTAAGTCTTTGTTTGTATGTAGGGGGTAATCTTTGGAACCGCTCGCGCTGCTGGTCGAATTTGAAAATTTTTTTCACTGATAGATAGCTACAATGTTTCTGAGTAGGCATAGTCTATTAACTAAAACTATCGTTTTTTTACTCTAGGTCACGCTTTAAATGCTTCTGTTTTTTAAATCCTATAATACATTACAGTGTGTAGCCGCGGATGTAAGCTAGTAATAACTAAAGCAATATATGTTATTTCTGCAAATCAATATGGTATATTGACAACCCCTTTCCTAATGATCGAATACCTCGAAAAACCTGACATATTATGTAAAAAATATTTGTTAAAGTAGACAACATTTTACAGGCCTACTCCAATTACTGTAGGTCTTATAGATAATCCAGAAAACCAATCATGCATCGGATAATGAAAGCAACCTGACTCTCTTCTTCCTTTTTGTACTCAAATAAGGTGCATATCCTTTTCATTGCACCCTTTCTTCCGCCTTGGGTGGGGCGAGAATGAATATAAAACTCTGACTGCTCCGGGGCTGGATCATATTTCACGGCTGGAAATGCAAGACATTAGACCACCACGCGCGCACCCCAAAGAGCCAATAGACCACCACAGACGGTGCCCTATATGGCTGATGTTCAGCCGGGGCAAGCGCAATGAGGCACCGCGGCCTTAGCCCAGAGTAGGAGGAGGAACGGCGAGATTTTTAGTCAGTAAGAGTCTGACATGCCGAGGGTCGGGCGGGAGAAGTCATTTAATGATTTTCCACTGGCAAAATAGCCACCAAAGATGGGGCCCGCCCGTTACGCGGCTGGAAGTTCGGCCATCTTGCAACGTGTAGCGGGGTCGATTCTCGCACGAAACAACTCTTTGTGTGATCCACAAATTGTTATTCCAAATCTGGATGTTGTGTTTTCATAATTGGATGTTTGGAAACACACTTAAGACAAAGGAGAAAATCCTAGTGAGGAGGAGAAAATCCTAGTAACACGAAAAGTTGTCCAACCTTGGGTTGCGGATGCAAAAGCAATAATGACCCTACTGTGGCCCGGTTTGGACCAGGAAAAGAAAAGGGTGAATCGAAGAAAGGAGGGATCCGACACTCCCTCCCGCTCAATCTAAAAGTGTAGAAGAAGTCATTGGATTAAAGTTACAAGTTAAAAAAAACTAAAGCCTGTACATAATGACGCTGATATTGTCTCTCTCTTTTTCTCTCTTAAGAAAGAATTTTTTTAAAAAACGGATAGGAGCATTGTTTGCAAAAAAAGGTGCATCGTTAATTGTCACTAATACTTAGTTAGATTTATGTAGGTACATACCTACGAACTTAAAAAAACTAAATAAAAGGGAAGTGAACTAGCTACTTTTACACACACAAAAAGAAACACACGAATATTGACTTCTGAAATTATTGAAAATGACTTCTCCGACAAAATATCTTAGCTCAGCAATTGCACGAGAAGCCAGACGAAATATTTGAGAATACATTTCATCAAGTAAGTACTTATTTTGTTTAACTACACTCATGATAACTTGTGCGGTATAGGTAATATTACATTAGCGTACTATCTACACAGCTAAAGCAAACTTATCTATAAAATCACCAGTAAATAACAGACCAATTTATCAACAATATTTTATATCACATTTTTACTCACGTACGCGAGCGATAAACAAACATAAATTAGCGATTTTATCAACAATATGAATGATGGGAAAGTTCAAATCATTTCAGAAATGATTTAGATAAAGGGTATAAGTGGGTGGAAATATATGTATATAGGTACTTATAATGATGATTTTGATATCTTCATAATGTTACAATTTAACAACTGCTTTTCCATAATTGTCTCCCTTTAACATTCCCACAAAGGCGTCAAAAATGTTCTCAAACCCTTCAGTGATATGCTCTCTAGGCTTCAACTTTCCACTTAAGATCCAATCTGTACAATCTGCTATCAATTCATCTCGTCGGTCGAACCATCGGTCGGCATGAATCCCTTGAATATTCAATTGTTTGACCAGTACAGCAAACAACGGTATGTTGCCCACAGCAGCACTAGGGTCGTTATAAGCACTTATAGAACCACAAACTGAAATCCGGCCACCGTAATTAATTTGACTTATGACAGAGTTGCTGAGCTCCCCTCCAACATTATCGAAGTAACAGTCAACACCATTGGGGGCAGCTTCCTTCAGAGCCGCTGCGATGTCAGCAGTCTTGTAGTTGATCGCCTTGTCGAAACCTATCTCTTCGAGCCACTTGACTTTATCGTCAGAGCCAGCGAAACCAATCACTTTGCAGCCCTTGATCTTTGCTATCTGCCCAACCAGGGAGCCCACAGCTCCGGCAGCGCCCGACACCACAACTGTCTCACCAGCTTTTGGCTTGGAAACTTCCAGTAACCCGAAGTACGCGGTAACACCTGGCATGCCCAACGCACCTATCGCTAAGGAATTCGACAGTTCTTTCATGTTTGGTAATTTATAGGGATGCCAAGCTTCCACGTTTGAATTGTCAGATGTATTAATAATACAATAGTCACACCACCCTGAGTGAGACACGATTCTAGAACCAACTGGGTATCTGGGATCCTTAGATTCTTCAACAAGTCCAACTTGGAAGCCGAACTGGTCATATGGGATTGTATTCCGGCGATTGTACGCTCGCATGTACGGATCCACACTCACCCACTCGACTTTAACGAGAACTTCTCCGTTTTTGAGCGGAGGCAGGTCGTATTCTACCACTTCATAATCTTCCCGTTTGGGATATCCTTCGAAATAGTTCTTCACGACGTACTTTCTAGCTTTCACCATGGTAAACGTGTTACTATAGAAAAATTACGAACAACTGTGTGTATTGCCAGTAAAGCATGATGCTTATATACCTAGGCTTAATTGCAGTCATTGTGACTTCACAGCTATCGCTGAAAATACAAGTATGCATGACGCACCAACCTACTTATAAAGAACTTATATCCCATCTACGACAAGCAACATCTACACTTAATAAATTACATTCTCAGCTTATCTATGTTTTTATGAATGAATAGCAAGATTCATTTGTATGGTTTACTTAAAATATAATTCTACAAGTCAAGTAATATATTGTTTTAGGTTTACGGAGATAACGAATGAACGTTGGCCGGCTGGCATGCCATGATATTGCGATTACGATTCGGCGAATAATTTTTATGCTTAGTACTGCACAGTCATGTCTACAGTATAATTGCCAAAAATTAGCAAAGGTGACGAATCTATACTTAATATTATAACGCTGAAGAGTTTGTTTGTCTGAACGCGCTAATCTCAGGAACTACTGGTTCGAATTGAAAAAATCTTTTTTAACTGAATAGATTGTTATCGAGGAAGGCTTTAGGCTATATAACATCACGCTATGATCTATAGGAGCCGAGCAGCGGGTGAAACTACGCGTGAGTAGTTAGTGTGTTAATAAAATTACGGACCTCGGTACTTTTACGACCAGATATTTTTTGGATTGCGGACGGCGACCAGAAAATCACCCACTACGCTATTTTTAGAGTCTATGGAGTCTAGGGTTTTGTTTTAATACAAAGTAAAATACTATAAGCTCTTCAGTATGAAATTAAATAAGGTAGCTACTTAATAAAAGACATAAATATATCAAAACTATTATTTTATTGTTAACTAAATGTGATATTACAATGTAAATTATTAAGAACGAAATAGCTTAACAATATTCAAATAGCGATAAATGATAGCTAATAAATCAAAATAACAAAAGAAAAGATTTCATTTCAAAAACTTCGAAAGAAATATTAGTGTCTATATTTCTGATGATGTTTTATAGAAACTATATTAACCTTGACATGTGTTGTAAAACTAATCTTATTAGGTAGGTGCTAGGTATATATTCAGTCTGTAACCAATGCAACTATCGACAAAATTTCAGAGTTCTGATATAACAAAAAAACTGATTAAATTGATGAACAGAATTTGGAGTTTTAATTATAGAATGGCTTATGCTTATAGATTATGCACCATTTATGTTAGGGTCAAGACAATAAAAATATTGAAAAAAAAATGTTGTCACTACAGTTAGATTTCTTAATTCCTATAGAGTAACCTAAACTTAGGATAAATCAAACAAGATGAAAGTAATTAAAGAAAAACGGTTGTAAGTTAACTTTTTTGACACTACTGATAGTTTAAGTAATAATCCTTAGCATGTTTAGCACTTACATCTTGGTACACCAATATTAATAAAAAAAGGCAGTTCACCTAAACTTAGTAGATTCTTCGATTTAAAGTCTTATTACAAGAAACTCAGAGAGTATCTTATTAAAACGAATTTAAAATTCTTTCAGGACCAAACTATCTACAACAGAAGTTTGATTTTTAAAATTTCGGGAACAGGTATTCCCATACAACCAACCTAACAAATTGCTTGTCAGACAAACACAACAAGATCCATACAAACAATGATATTATAAGTAAAAAGGTGCAGATAGGTTACAAGCGCTCATTAAGTGATACATTAAAATGTGGCTAACTAGTCACACTTTTTCATATTTGTCTCTTTTTCACACGCGATTATTGAATTATGCCATCCCACTTTAACGTGTATCATACGATTTATTCATGTGTGCATAAGTGTGCCGTTTTTGAAAATCGAATGTTGTTTATTTAAAACCTATCTATAGCATTTTACTTATAATATCATTGCATACAAAATATACATCTGTCTGTGCCTTCATTTTAAGAAAGCATTTCACTAGGACGTTACATACACTTGAACATTGACAATCACACTTCAACTTTTGTACAAAAACTTGCTTGGGCCTCAACACTTAATTATATCGATTAATTTAAATAATTTACACATGTTTCATAATACCTATTTTCTTTGAGCCTAATAAGCAGCATACTTGAGTTTAAATCTTATCAATAACACATTATTTTCCCTTTATGTTGACAAAACACTAGAATACCATACTGTGTTAAGTGTTGGAGAGCCATGCTTCGGCACGAATGGGTCGGCTCGACCGAAGTGAAACCACATCCTCACAAAAAACCGGTGTGAAACAAGCAGAGCGTCGTTTTGTTTCGCCGTGTGAGTGAAGTCGCCGGAGGCCTAATCCCTCTCCCTCTCCCCATCCCTTCCCAATCCTTACATATCCGAAACCCTTACCCCGAAAAGGGCACTAACGCGCTCGTAACTCCTTTGGTGTTGCGACTACCTCATAAATAAATGTTACATATAAAACTACGATTATTGCTCTCTCCAAATTCGAGTTCAAATACAGGATGGATAAATTTCTACATATTCATTAAAAACTACATTGGTCCAAGTTAGGCATAATGTGAGATAATTGCTATCTCATAGACTCAAAGAATACACTCCAATTTAAACAAATTATTAAATAATTTACAGATTCGTTGAGGCCCTTACAGGTACTTAGATGTGTGGAACTGTAACATTCACGTGTTGGCTTTCTTAGCAGCAGAGGAATCCGCTTCTCCTTCGCTCGCCTTTCTCTTTCGCTTGATGAGGTGGGAGATGTCAGACGCAGCTGGTTTGGGAGCTGATGAACTGGAACTTGAGCTAGAGCTGGGTCCAGCACCATTAGAAGTCGATGCACCATCGCCATTCGCTGAACACAGGGTTTCGCGAACTCGTTTTATCGTCTGTGAATTGAGTAAAATAAACATTTTCAATACAATGCCTATCAGATAACGTATATCATTACAAAGTAATATTTGTGAAACAAACAAACAATGAAACAATGAATTTATTTTTGCAAATAGGCCATAAAACGGCTCTTTTACACGTCATATGTGAAAAACTAGATGAAGCCGGCATTTCCTATCTGATTACTCTGAGAAATGCCGAAACAAACTCAGAGGTCAGTCTCTTTTCAAGTCCAGACAATATAAAATTACATAATGTGAGAGAACCGTGCAAGTTCATTCTGTAGTGATGTGATTGTGTGTATGACTGGTTTAATAAATTCCTTATCTATTTACTTACTACCACTGCATTATTGTCAATAACTTTTGTGTATAAACACAAAAGTTGTGTTTATACACAAAAGTAGTGTGTGGTAACAGTTAAAATTAATTATCATGTTCGTGTCAATTGTTATAGCTTAAAGAAACTATATTCTAGATTCTAGACTAGAAATTTTTCAATTAATTTTATTTATTTATTATTTAATTACCAAGCACTACCAATTTTTGGTAGTGGTGTATTTTTTTGGTTTTTGCTAGTATCACAGAATAGAATAAAATTTTTATTTCTTTTTTCCATTACATTTCAAAACATTTAATATGAAAATTTATTTCAAGTGTGAACTCTGGTACTTCACTTGCTTTTCATACAAGTATCTAATTGTACAGCTGGATATTGTGAAGCATATTTTATACGGAGCATTTATTAAATTACTGTTGACTACACTATCAAAATTGTGTGATAAATAAAAAATAAAAAAAACCATGAACATCAATGGCCATGATCACAACACAAACAAGCAACAAATCAACCACATGGCCATTAATGTATTGGGAACCATCTGAAATAACACACAGGGTTTAATTTTGAACAAATTTATTTCAAAATGTTGCAAAACACAATATAAAAATGGCCTTGTGGTAAAAATGTTGGCTTAATAACTAACATGATACAGGTAAAAAAATCAGTACTTAAAACTTAAACCTACGAGTATTATAATGCTGCTGAATATAGCTGGCAGTCTACACTATTCAGATTATAGTTTATTCACATACTTAAGCAGATACTGCAAAAATATTAGCATGATTTATACAAGGCATTACACACACCCAAATATAAATTACTGATACTAAACACTAAACAATTAAAAAGATACTGACTGGAAATTAATACAAAATTATGAATTAAATTACAACTTTCAGTCCTTCAGTCTATCTTATTTCTCAGTCTATTACATCACATCAACAACATTCACAATTAAGGCACACATTCATTTCAATTCAAATTTTCTAAAAATAATACTGATTATAAGTAACAGTCAAATATTAACACGTTCGAGGACAGAACGAGATTATACGTCATCGTTCGAGATTTTGATATGGCACAACGTACGATGACGTTCAAATAACATTTAAATTATACGGCACAACGTTCATTTCCGATGAAAGTTAAAGTTAAAATCCTATTGAATGTATCTTGTGTCACAACATGTAAAATACTCAACACTGTACTGTCACGTAGGGTAATTTTTAAACTATTTCAAATAAGTGCCGTTGATAGTGTGCGGTTAAGGTACTCACATACGCACAACGTGTTTATACGTCCCGCGCTCCTACCGCGCTCCTATACTCATTGCGGCTGCGTCACTGTGGGAGTGCGCTCGCGTTCAAGTGACATTTCGTGGCGTATCGTAATATTTGCCGCGACAAAACATCGTAAGTATTTAGTTTATGTTATTATTTTATTATTCATTAGCTAGAAACTATATTATTTTACTGTGAATTAATAATTTTACTGTGTGAAATTGATGTTTAATGGGTTATTTTATGTGTTTTAGATGGATAAGCGCAAAATAAGACCGCTGAGCATTTTCGATGATTCCGACACCTCCAACGAGCCGGATCCTTACCAAGATGATGATGGAGAATATGGTTCGGATAAAGATTTTGATCCACAAAGAAGTACATCAGGTAGTGAAAGTTCTTATTCTAAAAATTACCGACAGAAATCGACAAAAACTACTAAGGGTCAATCAAATTTGGTCGGTATTTCGACTCGAAAGCCCGAATCCAATGTTACTTCTGATCCTAGTAGTGATGAAGATGATACCAAATCTGTTGAGAGTGATCATTCACTGTGCCCTGCTAACACACCATCACCACCTCGAACCCCTACTACCACATCACGTTTTCAAGAGGAGGTTGCAGGCTATGAGTCGAATTCTTCAGAAGAAATTTTCCCTCTAGCCAAACGCTTAAAATTGGTTAAATCTCCAATTACAACCGTACCTACTGTGAATCAAGGTCCCAATGAGGTCATTGAAGAAGGACATATACCTTTGGAACCTGAAATTATTGAAAATCTGGTTCAAACATCACCTCGTGGGACGACTCAGGATATCTTATCTTCACACAACATCTCTCAAAATGAGACCGTGGGTTTGTCGACTTTATCACTTATTTCTAATGTCTTAGCTGAAAACTTAGATAATACAGGTGAATTTAGGTCCCTTGATATACTACCGCCATTATTCGATGAACCCCAAGACGAGATACTTCAAGAGGAGCAAATAGGTTCCGGCCAACCCTCCAATGCGTTGGATACTCCTAATCCTAGAACTTCAACTACAGAAGATTGGTCAGAAACTACAGCACCCATACCGGATTTCAATTTTGACGCTGGTGCTGTGGGGGTAAAGTTCACCATTGATAATAACACAACCGTGTTTGAGGTATTTAACCGCCTGTTTCCACCTCTTATACTAGATTATCTCGTCGAATGCACTAATGCATACGGTACAAGTATGTGTCAAACTAATCGACCGAAAACTAGGCACAGTCGGTCTTACACATTTAAATTGACAGACAAGAATGAAATGTTGAAGTTTTTAGGACTGTGCTTGCTTGGTGCCCAAGTCAATATACCCCAAAAGCGAAAACTTTTTACTTTGTCGGACTGTTTATATTATCACCCTGTTTTTGTCTCAACTATGTCAGGACGACGCTATGAACAACTGTTAAGGTGCCTGTGCACAGGACCTTTAGGTGCTAAGGGCAAAAATAAAATAACTGAGTTCATGGACGCCATTACAAGAAATTTCCGAGCGTGCTACTCTCCTGAAAAAGAACTTTCTTTGGATGAGTCACTTTTATTATTTAGGGGGCGTTTATCGTTTAGACAGTATATAAAATCCAAAAAGGCAAAATATGGGATCAAATTCTACGAATTGACGGAAGCAAACGGCTATGTTTTAAATATATTAATGTATACCGGCAAAGATGACTCGACTGACTTGGAACAAGGAAAAAAAACTGATAAAACTGTCATGAAGCTTATGAGACCTTATGTTTTAAAAGGCCACGAATTGTTTATGGACAATTATTATAATTCATACGGTTTGTCTCAAAAACTGCTTGATCTCAAAACTCATACTGTAGGCACCCTCAGAAAAAGCCGTAAAGAAAACCCGAAAAACGTTATGCACAAAAAGTTAAAGAAAGGCGAACATGTATGGGTACGGAAAAATAACGTATATGTTTCAAAGTGGGTTGATAAGGAGCCGTAACCATGATTACTACAAAGGATCATCCCAAAATGATTAACGTTGCAAATAAGCGCGGACAATTAAAAAGAAAACCTATAGAAGTGGTGAGTTACAATGCATTTATGTCCGGTATTGACCGCGCTGATCAGATGGTGTCCTATTATTCGTCTCCGCGAAAATGTTTGAGATGGTATAAAAAGGTATTTTTTCATTTACTTGATTTAACTGTATGGAACAGTTTTTATTTGTATAGAAAATACAAAATGAATAACAGTAAGAAATATGAATTGTTACATTTTAGAGAAGATTTAATCAGAACTTTAATTGGTATTAGCCTTTCTCAAAGACCTGAACTTTTATTGAAGCATTCCAAGAACGACAATAGAAGAGTGGATAGGACAGCACACCCAAGACCTTCCCCAACACAACCCGAAAATGGCAGTGGTGGACATTGGCCTGAAAAGATTCCACTTCCTCCTGGCTCCAAAAAAACTACTAACTATCTTAAATGCAAAATGTGTGCAAAGAATAAACGCCGCAAGGAAACTGGATTAAGATGTAAGGGCTGCAAAGATAAGCCTGCACTTTGTGCGTTGTGCTTTGAAGAATGGCACGAGACTGATAATGTTACGAGTTCCTAAACGACAGACTGAATTTTTTTATTAGTTGTTTTAGATTTTGATTGTTCTGTTGATTACATTTTATTTTTATGCAGAAGTTGCTTTTTTGTGATAAATATAATTATGCAAGTGAATGGTTGTGATTAATTAAGTAACAATAGTTTCTACTTAAGACTGAAAAAATATTATTAAAGAAATAAATGGTTGATTTTCATATTTTAAGTTTTATTTTATATCGATCATATATGAATTTAATTTATTATTTATTTATTTTCACGTGCATTATGATAAAACATTTAGATACCTTGAACGTATAATGACGTTCTGTTAAAGGCATCATTTTTCATCTCACTATGACACGACAACACGTATAGAAACGTCGTCGGCATAATACGTTGTGACCCAATCATATGGATATCTTAACACTAAAAGTGACAGAACGTTATTTCACGTTGGACGCATAGGTACGTTGTGATGGTACTGCGTGTCGTTAACATAATATGATGTGCCAGAACGTATCTACACGTTGGACGTTATTACACGTTGTGTCCCTATACATCTAGTTTTACATTACTTTTAATGACACAACGTATTTATACGATGACGTGATAAAACGGTTCTGTCACGATGTATTTAAAACAATATTTTTTCATGGGACGCAACGTACTGATACGTCGTATAATTTTGTATACACATTTACTGTGTCATTCTGTTACACTGACTCAAGTGGTAGCGTCCGTGAACGTGTTAAAACAATCACAATATCACAAAACGGTGGCAACAATTTAGCAATTTGGCACAATATAATTTAGGAACAAATTCAATATTATTATGTAATAAATATCACAATGTCATGGAATGTTAACAAATTACTCTTATGCTTACCAAAGCTTGTCATGATTATCTAAGAATAAAATACTGGTCAATGTATTTGTATGTATACATTGAACAACCTAACTATACTTAAAGCGCAGTTATGTGTAAGTAGGAGTGCCACTTCAACAAGTGTTTGCAACATACAACTTCTGCCTTAAGCTTGGCATTCCAATTGACACTGAGACCTCTCCTTGATAATCATGTTGCGCAGCATTTTCCTAGTAACCTCAATGCAATCGCAAGGTCTTACCTCAGCCTTGTAATCCATCATATCCTGAATCTTCTCCTGTATCTCAGGCAGAAGTTCCTTCAACTCCTTAATTTCACCCTCAACAGAGTAGAATGGGTCTGCTGTAGAGAATTTCTTGACAGTAGCATCTTCAGTGACAGCAGCTGGGTTCTCCAAAGTTTTGATTCTAGTTTCGAGAATGTTCGCTGCATTCTTGAAGTGTGTAATGGCGTCTTCGAAGTTTGATGCCAGGGAATTTGCAAGACCTGTAATAATTGTCATAAATAGTTAATAAACAGTCATAAATAATTTTTATATTTTTTCCTATGGAGCTTATGACATAAATTTTATTTGATAATGAACATTATTTATAGTTTATTGATATAAATCTGCTTACCAATTTGGTAATGAGTCTCGGCAATACGCCTGTCGTCGCTACGATATAGTTCTTTTTGCAGATCCAGACAGCTTTCTGTGAATAAGAACAAAGTATAAAGTAAAAGTACTGTGTAAAAACCCAACAATAATTTCTCAATTACGTGAAGCCCATGCAGGTTATTGGGTAAGTGGTTTAATTTTGGTCTCACTTTGAATGCCCCGTCTTGCTATCCTCTGCTTCAATTATTATACGAATGGTCACATTGTTAAACTATTAAAAAATCGTTTTATTGTGTTGTTTATTACTAACTTAGTACACTTTTAATCAGTGACAATCTTAAGAGGTATATTTATATTGTCACATTGTGTTGCTTGTTTTGTGAAAAATATTAACTACGATATGTAATGTATTTATTAAACCCAAAGTAGAGTATTTACTAGGTAGGGATCGCTCTGAGGATTCTGTCTGTGAACAAATTAACGAGATTCATATATGCTATACTAACGCATATCAATGACTGCCTTGTCGTAGGTCTCGCTCTCAAGTGCAACCTCTCCAAGTGCAAGATGTACGTCGGCCAGCAGCGCGCGCGCAGCGTCCCCACCGCAATCCTGTACGCGACGGTACAGGATACTGCGTGCTAAGTCTGCAGGGAAGAACACAGATTTTATTATTATTGAATTATAGCGAATGTAGAAATTCACACTATACTTAGAAAAAAGATAAGTTCATATAATGAATTAGCTCAACTTTTTATTTATTACTTTAAAATACTAAATAACTTCTTTTAAATTTGACTTACCAAGCATCTCCCAAGCAAGTTGTAGGTTGTCAACATCATCCTCAGCATCCACATTCATCACAGATTCATCATGAGCGTCGCCGTTTGTTGTACCCTGTTACCAAATAGACAAGAACTATGAAACTATCCATTACTACTACTAATTTCTAACATGTTGCAGAACTCGCAAACAGAAATTTGTCTAGTAGCATTTAATACATCAACATATCTTTTTTAATTCCTGAAGGGATTGGCACATGCACTTATTCAATTCCCATCTTTCTACACTTTCCCCTAGACTATTTCATAACTCTTATGTAATAAGCTGCATTTCTAACAATAGCTTTATGTACAGTTCAGGCCATAGCTGGGCATTAACTCGTTAATCCGTTAATCGTTAATTAACGAAGTTAACATTTTGATTAACGGATTAACTTTTAAGTTAACTTATAAAAATGTTAACGGACATGTTAACTTCCGTTAATTATGCAGAAGTCCGTTAATCGTTAATCCAATGCCTACTATTTACCGCACGGGTCCGCGGGACGAGGCGCGAAAAACAGGTTCAGACAAGTGCCGGGCGCGGCGAGCGCGGCGCGTTCTGATATAGCCAACCTTTTAAATCCAAACTCAGAAGAAGGTGATGATTTAGAGTTTATTTCAGTAGAAAACATACTGAATGCTTCTGATCGTCTCCAGTGCAATGAAATCAATGAGCAGGTATTAGAAAACTTTAATACTTTGCCAGTTCACATGAGATGTGCTGCACATACATTTAATTTGGTCGGTAGCAAAGATGCAGATGCTGCTCTACAAATATCTGTTTTCAAGACTCCCTACAGAAGAGCCTTAGCCAAGGCACGAACTCTCTGGAATCAGCAATCACGTAGTACGGTAGCAGCAGATAGCATTTATACTGAATTAGGCAGACGACTTGTCCTCCCAAATACGACGAGGTGGAACTCTCTGTATGATGCTATCGTCGTTTTCAACGGTATATTGGAAACAAAAAGGGCTTCTCTTCAGCGAATTATGACTCAACTAGAAATTCCAACTTTCAATGATCAAGATGTGGCTGTAGAACGTTTGTTTTCCACGGGTAAAGACATTTTAACACCAAAGCGAGCCTCGCTTTCAGACGAGAACTTCAACATGTTAATGTTTATGAAGGGGAATATGCACCTTATGTCCGACGATTAAATTACACATTTATTTGAATCATACAAGTATTTTGTTTTGTTCTTAACCTATTAACTTCCAGAACCTAAACCAACCAACAGGTTTTATAAGTTCACTCGCAACGATATAAAAATGCAACTTTACGCATAGTTAACGGATTAACGATTAACTTTAACTTGCGTTAATTCTTCCGAAATGTAACGCTTTAACGTTTAACGAAGCTAAATTTTTTTGTAGCGGATTAACGATTAACGGTGCCCAGCTATGGTTCAGGCTTATTAACAACTGGCTACTCTTGTTTCGTTTCACCCGCTGCTCTGCTCCTACAGATTGTAGCGTGATTTTTATAGCCTATATAACCTACCTCGATAAATGAACTAACAAAGAAAAAAAGAATTGTTCAATTTAAACCAATAGTTCCAGAGATTAGCGCATTCAAACAAACAAACAAACTCTTCAGCTTTATAATATGAGAATAGATTAATGATTATAGGTGTCAAAACTCACTGGCTCTTCACTTTCTTCAGGAGCAGCACTGCTGCCTGGCTCCTCATCCTTAGTTGTGGACTCTGCCTCACTCTTCTCAACTTCTCCATTTTCTTTCTCATTCTCTGCTGCTTCTGCTTCTGCCTCAGCCTCACCATTTTCACCATTCTCTTCTTGTTCTAAGCAAAAATTTTATTCAGGTCAAAGAAAAACAGAAACCTACTGAAATTAAGGAAATGAAAACAATTGGTTATTTAATAATCATAACAATCTCATTTCCTTACTATATGAATGTTTGAGAGTCCTAAAGTAATAAGAATTCAATGACTTGAAAACTACCTTCATTATCTTCTTCCTCTTCATCAGCATTTCCTGAGCCAGGCACGCCATCACCAAGGACACCGCTTTCTTCTCTTGACAGACCAAGTAAGGCTTTTCCATACCTATTTATAAAATTAAGCTTAGGATTAAAACAAGTAAGCTCAAATAAGAATGTAGATGATACAGTACAAGATGATATCTTTTTCTTAGTAGTTTTTTTTTTCTACTTATTAGGAGCAAGCCTATCAAGTCACAGAATACAATCCCAGATTTCATAGCATTACTGAGAATTAACAATATATTAATATTTTTAATAGTATTGTTAGTTAATTAACAATTAGAACAAGTTAATATACTATTTCTATTGCTGCTTTCAGTTAAGGGTACAAAGAGGCTGGCATGATCACACATGATCCATATTAATCTCTAACTTTGGTATACCACCTTGTACAACATGATTATGAAACGGTTGATTATTGTGTATTGATCAAAAGCCCAAATGTTATATTTATATAAAAAAGATTAAACTAACAACTTATGAACACTGACCTACTAAATAAAATAAAGATTTACAATAAGAAATAACAATTACCATAAGTAAGCCTCAGCACACTGGTCAGCAGTATCTCCATGTTCTTTAGCAAGTCCCTCACATGCTTGTGCTAGGGCACTTGCAGCCGCACTGAAGTCTCTCACAGCCAAATGCCTGCGGCCCACAGCCAGCAACTCAGTTGGGGAGGAGGTTGACACTTCTGATACTTCAGTCATCTGTAATCAAGACAAAGGATTATTGGTAAAGGAAGAGGATTGGGATTGGTAATATGGAATTAACTTGTATATTCACTTATTTTTTTCTCATCTGGGTCAGTGGGTAGTCTTAGGTCTGTCATTTGTTGCTGATATGAACTAAGTTTAAATATAATGGCATTAACCTCACATAGTACTTTTTCAATGCTCCCACTTTAACACTAAATAAAATTCAGTTATAATCTAGTTAATTGGCTAAACTATTACTTCTACATGGAAGAATGAGATGAACTATATAAGTTATACAACAGTAGCGCCGCAAAACAACTAAAAAACTATGTATGGACACCTGTGTATATATAGCAAATCTACATATGGAATTGAACAAGGGGTTTTGCTGTCTAAGTACATTTACGGTGAAATTTATCTAAAAACTTACATTGATACATTTTACTTTCTTTTCTTGACTACCACAATGTAACGGTCGGCACGGCGGTATTGTATTAATACCGACACAAATACAATAGGTAACTTACAAATTCCACGTGGAACGGCTGCAATAGGTAATCGACTATAAATTGCCTCAATTACTTTTTAAAATCCAAGAGGATTTTTAACAGAAACAATAAAATTATTTAGGAAATATGACTATTCAATGAAATAACCGCGCGAAAATTTTGTTTTTTACAATTGATGAATAAGCACGTGAAACTTGTGGGAAGGTAAATACTTACTTTGATTTGATTTATAAACAATAATATTATAGTCCCAACACAAATCTGTCTACAAAATCTAAACGAAATACGGTAAAACTTGAAGAAATGCACGCGTGTCGACTTTATTCCGTTTGCTCGTCGTTAAAAACAGACAGATAATACTTGACTTGTTAGCAAAATGAATGGAAGAACTGTCAAAAATATTTTATAGTCTATGTTCTACTCTATTGTTAATGACGGTCTGCGACGCCTATAGTCTGTGGTAATGTGGTGTAAAATTTTCCCGCGCTGATTTGTAAAATATTTTAACAAAACCACGATAAAATAATATTTTGCGTGTTTTGAAGACAAACGACGAATTTAATATAAATTAATATTTCCAGTTTCCAGTCAATAAAAGTTTTTAGTAAACTATCGAACTTGTGAATAAGCAATTTCATAATCGTCAAGTTACTGACTATACCGCTCGCCATGGAGCAATAATTGCTATCTTGCACTCTTGCCCGGCTCTCCCGGCTGTTGGCTAGGTGCTGACCAGACACGGATTATTCAGCAGGTACTTGTTTCAGTCGACCCAGAATACAGAGAAAAACATACAGTGGCGGCGTGTACTTCTTGAGCTGTGCAGCAGCGTGTCTACTATCAAGCGATCTGATCTGAGGGGGCAACCCTCACTATATAGGATTTTGTCGTGTGTGACATAAATGACGATATAACCACGTGTCGCGGGTGCGTTTACAAACATACAATTTCACATATTGTTGTTCTGGGCCGGAACAACGTAGATTACACAAAGAATATTCCTTGCGGGAACTCTGCTAATTTCTATTCGCTGGAGTATTTTGTTATGGGTCTAGCTAGACCTAGCTTCACTGACGGACAAGACAAATAACTTTTGGCGTTCCAAAAGTGTTAATTTAAGAATTAATTTTTGTCCTCAGGGGTGTGATCTTGGCGTCTCGCGTCCAGACTTAGGTGAGGCCAAGGTGCGAAGCGAGAAAACTGGCTAGCCATCTCCTCTTTCTGCGTTCTTCAGGACTATCCTCCTCAAGTCCCAGCTGCCTCAGTAGGTGACACTCCGAGCATTGGGGACGTGCAGAGTGGGTGAGTGAGTGCAGCTTGCCGCCCGACCAGAAGCAGACCCCATCGTACAGTTCGTGGCGTTCGTGTTTGAAAAAATCAATATGTTCAACCGGGCTTTTAAGGGTTGGGAGTTTTAAGCCGGTAAGAGCCCAATACTCACTCTGGACTTAACGAGAAAAGTCATGTGTGATAATTATATTGAAATAATTAATTGAGATTTTGGGTACATAAACAACCTTTCGAAAGTATCTAGATAGTACTTATTGTGGACTTAGAAAAGTCATGTTGATTAGTAGGTGGTATTTACACGTATCACTTAAGTACAATTTTTCGTACCCACACCTTTAAGCTTGAGGAGGGCTTGAGCGCCAGCAATGCTATCACGTTTTATTTTGCATTGCGTTTACAAACAGAAAATAATACTTAGATTTACATATAGATGCATGCATAACAATTATAATTTGTGAATCTTACAGCGTTGTTTCTTGCGGGAATGGACATTTGACATTCCTACTTAGCACCAAGTTGCCCAGCCACTGCGCCAGCGCCAACGGACTGTTTATTTAATTAATACATAAAAAGAATAATAATAAAAAATACATAATACCGAAGGTAATGATAATGGTTTTGTGTCTTCGTTAAGTACCATAAAACGGGGTGAATAGATGTTTACGAATTTTCCTAGTATCTATTCACCTCTCTTCTGTCTCTATTCACCCCTCGAATTCTATTCCTACCTCTAATACAAAAAAGAAAGTACCTAGGACTGTCCATCCACCACAGACAGGCCCTATAGTTGATATATGTACAGCCGGGGATGCGGGGCAGAGATGATTTTAGTCAGTAACAGTCTGACTCTCTCGCTCCAACCTAGGCAAGAGAAGTCTTTTGATGGTTTTCACATCACATCGACCTTAGCATAAGTCTCTACATCTAGAGGAATAGGTATGTGATTTTTTGAGTTTTTTTTTAATAATACGAATAAGTTTTAATTGAATATTCTTTTTAGTAATTAATTAATAGTATTGATGTAGTTATTTTATTAATTGTGGTGCAGCTTGCATCGTATAATGACACAGGGTGGTATCGACTTTTCTCCCACCCCACACTAGCAGTCACCCGCCCAATCAAACTTTAGTAATGTTTGTGCATTATCGAGATACTTATCGATAAATTCTCAATTAAGTACTTAACTATCATTCTTCTGTATTTTTTGACTGATTAACTATTTGATAAAGTAGTAATTTGTAATAATTTGTTGAAGTAAGTAATTAGGAAGGCTTTTTTTGTGAGGGGAACAACATCCAATGACTTCTCCCGCCCAGGGCTGGGCGGGAGGGTGTGTCAGACTCTTACTGACTAAAAACCCCCCTGTTCCTTCTCCTGCTCTATGCCGAGGTCGCGGTGCCTCATTGCGCTTACCCCGCAACCCCAGCTGAACATCAGCTCTATAGGGCCCCGTCTGTGGTGGTCTATTGGCTCTTTGAGGCATCTTACGTTTGTATATTAAAATCTGTGATTAAAACTAGTTGCCACATATATTTACATCGATATGTATAGTACCTAGTTATTTATTTAGTATCTAATATCTAACTAGTACCTATCTTTAGCGCGGCTCAGCTCCCTTTGATAGTAGCACTCAGGAACAGTAGCTATCTATTATTGAAAGAATTTTGGACCAGCGGTACCTTCATACAAACTTACAAATTACAAATTTTTCCTCTTTAATATTGTCCCTGTTACTCTAACACGAACCTACCTGTGCTTAATCAGTGCAATCAATTTTACGCACCTAAATAACCACGTAAGTACCGACGAGACACAATCACACTTTACGGCGTATCGATAAAACAGTTTTCCTACCGCCAGCACTAGATACCGCTACATTTTCCCACTTTCCCTCAGTTTGTCTGCAACGGGTGGACCGGCAGCTCGTGTTCGTACACGAATACCTCGCGAACCGATTACAACCCTATATTGACATACCTATCACGCGATATCTAAATAAAAAGTTTGTCTGTACTCTTTGAAAAATGTGACAAAAAACTGTACCATTCATGCAAGGTGGTGTGAACACCATAAAGTAAGTTCTGATTTTTGTTTTTTAACGTTTCGTACTAGTGTTACGTTACTAGCATTTTAGTAAGTGTTTGCAAGTAGATAAAACCTTAGAAATACCTTGCTTTTAGGATTATGTTTTTCGGATATTTTTAATGTGTTTCACTATTTCCTTAAAGAAGCGATATAGCGAAGATAGATATTTGTAGAAAGCCTTTATTTAGATTTATTAGGCAGTTTAGTGCTACATGATACCTACACACATAGATTAAGGTCGTTCAGTGAACCCATAGGATTTATTATACCTAAAGCCTACTCGTACATTACTAGGTACTAGAGTAAATGGTTGGTACCCGAGAAAAAAAAGGTTACATTGTAATTCTGTTTTATATTTAATTTGTGTACTAAAGCTAGTAGCATTCTCAACTTAATTTCGGAAAGTCCACGTTCAGTACATTAATTAGAGATGAATATCTGACTATACTGTTTGAACTTACTCCATTTGTATATATCGTAATTACCAACTATCAGTAAATTGTATCATGCGATAGTTAATTACTCAGACGACCTTTAGCGAAGGCTTAGATACCTAGGTAGATATAGAACTTCATCACCAAGGTATACCTATTACCTACATACATAGAATAGGTATTCAGGTAATATGATGTGCACCTGACTACATACTTATATGTAGATATACATGTATTAGGTAAATACAGATAGGGATAGAACTACAGGAGCTAAGCTCAAACACATCTCAAGCCCAAATGCTATTTACCAACCAATTTAAAAATACTGCATTTTCCATAAATAATATTAATTATTATAAGTTACTGTACTTAAATACCTAAAATCAAACACGTTTCGTATTCTTATTGACTAAATCGCTAAAATCCCCACATTACCTGAATTAATTAATTTAAGCTGTTGAATTAATCGAGTAAGCGTAGTTCTATGTGCGTATCAATGAGAGAACATAGGTAATTACCTACATCAGATCCAGAAATATCGCATAAACTAACAAAAAACTCATTTCGAGGGTTTCTTCGGCACGTTTATTTGTACAGTCCAAGATTGCTTGGGCTATTCAATCTGCTCTTTGGCGAGGCCTGTTCTCTAGGAAAACGAGAGTCTTTCCAGATTGATTACAAAATAAGTATTTGCGTTACATGCCCTTCCGACCTCTTAAATCACATGAATGATGATGAGAAAGACATCCATGATTCAAAGGCTAACATCAATTTTCAAAGAGTTCTTCATAAACTGATGAGGATCTAAGTAGTACATTTGGAAAGGGTGGTTTTTGTCCGTGACCTGCTGAACTGAGATACATAGGCGAGGGGTTTCTCATAATCTCAACTACTGATAGGGTCAGATAGCAGTTAAAATTTCAGGTTTAAAAGACAGTGATTTCGCGCTGTCTCTATTAAATGCGATGGCTTCTTCGGCTACCCTTCGTCGGGTCTTTTGACATCTTTGGAAGAATGGGTGAAGTATTCAAAATATTTTGCTTTGCTGTAACTAAACTACTACTTAGAAGCTTTACATAAAAGGTTACTTAAACCATTTCACAAGCTTTAGAGGATACAGGCGGGGCCCTATAGGGCTGATGTTGAGCCGGGGTTTCGGTTTAAGCGCAATGAGTCACCGCGGCCTCGGCCCAGAGCAAGAGAAGGAACGGGGGGGGATGTTTAGGCAGTAAGAGTCACAACAGAATCTGTAAGTCTTTTAAAACGTATCCCTTTTACGATCTGCAACAGGCTATTTCAAATTACCCAAATCAAAAAAGGCGATGAAAAATAAGTACCTTTTAACAAGAACCCATAGTCACTAAGGGAAAATAATCAAAAAGTTTTTATTCATGTGCAATGAACTTTTACGTTTGGTTATTGCTCCTTGATCGAGGCTCTTGGGCGCTCCTACGAGTTATGATGGCTAGGTACTTGTATAGTAGGTACTTGAACTTTAATACACATGAGTAGAAATAAATACCATAATTCGATGATTCACAACTTCTTAAACACGTAGG